CATTCCAGCTTAATCATGCAACTCTGAATGTTGTAACTTTGAACCAACAGAATGTGAGGTATTGATACCATCCAGGTCCCACCTGGGGGAAAAAACACCCAACCTGCCACAGCAGTGATGGAGCAATCCATGACTTTGGCTCCTTGAATCTCCAAGAAACGTTGAAATGACAACAAGCAGAAGAAAGCACCATCTAGTAGTGGTCAAGACAGAGAGACACTGACCGATTCAGAGATTCAGTTTGCACACAACTACCCACCTTTTTAGCTTGCTTATCCATTTAGCTTTTTGAGGAAATAAATGCTGGAATTTATAAATGTTTAACTATGTGGCTGTGCAGTTTCTCGAGTGCATACTGCTACTCAAAGAACTGGATGTTTGCTGCGACCCAAGTAAAACAGAAATTGAGACTAAAATTGGAAACTCAATTTCAACTGAGGGCATTTTGGATGTGGCCAAGGAGCATAATGGAAAAAATAACAACTTTTCAGAATGTGGTGGCAGGGGTCATGGAGAACAAAGGAATAGAAAGTTTTCCCCAGAGATCAGAGTAAGGCCCTCATCAAAAAAATCCTCTTGATCCAGCCCTGATGGTCTAGTGCTTAAATTTCCATGCTCTGTGCCTCGGCAGCCCGGGTTCACTTCCCAGTGGCAGAACCACACCACCTGTCTGTCAGTTGCCATGCTGTGGCCGTGGCTCGCATAGAGAAATAGAAAGACTTACAACTAGAATATACAACCATGCACTGAGGCTTTGGGGAGAAGAAAAAAAAAAGGAGGAAGATTGGTAACAGATGTTAGTTCAGGGCATTCCTTCTCTGCAAAAAAAAAATATCCCCTTACCTCCAATGTAGGAGGTCTTGCTGTAACTGTTCAGTGTGATTTCAGAATTACTGGGCTCAATGACTGCCAGCTATCTTCCCATTCTTCCCTTTCCAAATGGGAGGATTCAATGCCATTGCCCTGTTCCTCTTCTACTATTGTATATTGGGTATGTTGGGGGAGAGGGTTGCAAATAATTTGTATTTTTGTTTATACATCTCCAGAACAAGAGGATCACGTCCAGATATGTAGTAGAGATAAGACACCTGCATAAAACCTAGAGATCCAGAACTTGGCACTGAAGGGATCTTTGGAGATGGGTTGAGTGTGTTCAACATGTGTTAAGAAGGGAGTGAAGATATTTTTAGTAACCACAAGGGTAGACTATTGCAGAAACATTGGCTACTCACTAAATATCCCTGTGCTTGCCCACATTTCTGAGCCCCCTTGCATATAGGCAGTGCCATATGACTTGTTCTGGCCAATGAGCTGTGAGCAGAAATGATATGTGTTACTTCCAGGCTGAAGCATAAGAGCAGGCCCAAGTTCTCCATGCATTATTCTTCCCTGCTGTGGCAATTCCTCCTCTGGCACCTGAGTGGCTAAGTGGAACAGAGCCCCACCTTCCCCCCCAACCCCCAAACTAGTGTAAACAAGAAAGAGACTATTGTTGTGGGAAGTCACTGGGACTGCAGTGTCAATTTGATGTTTCAGCATCACCTAGACTATCCTGACCAATACAAAAACTCTAAAACTTCAAAATTGGTCTACCCATTAGATGTTAGAAATACCAGTGACAATCTCTTATGATAATATATTGAGATGTACATCACAAAATGTGGGAAGAAATATCATTATGCCTAATTAAAATCTTCTTACTTTTGCAATTTGACCTTATTTCTCACACATTTCCCAGTCCTTAAACATCAAAGCTAGGCAGTTGTCTAGAAATGTGCTGTTTGCCATTGTGATATCATCCCAGCATTTCTCTCATAAATATCAAGATTTCTCTGGGTATTAACTCATTCTGCCTGGACTCTCAGACTTCAGTGCACCCCGACATGGATAGAGCCTTCATCTGTCACTAGCCAACCCACAGAAGGCACTGTACCTCCCCTTATCCAAACACACACCACAGCATATCCAACATTAACAGAGTCTATTAAGACAGTACATACATGAGGAACTGACTTGAGAACGTCAGGCACATGGTTAGGCAGCACAGAAGGTGCTTGTGAGCTGGCCACACTTTCATCGTTGGTATTGGCTGCTTATATGCACAGGGGTCCATGGAGGAACCCTGCAAACAAATCTGTAGGCAGCTGTAGTGTGAGGGGCTGAAATGGAGGTTGAGTAGAGTGTGCAAAATAGCAGCACATTGTCAATCAGAGGGAGTAAAGAAAAGAAATCCATTACAGAAGCCTCTGGTTTGCAGTTTTCAGGCAAAAGCTTCGAGCAAAGACAATCTGGGTCCCAGGAAACAAAAAGACAGTGAAGACACATGTACTCAGTAAAGGGCAGTTATTTTTAAATAGGAATTTTAAACCATATAGAAATGTAAGTATTATAAACAACACATGGATACTGCTCATGAATGTAAAGCGATATGGTACACTTTCACTGGCACTTTGGGAAGAAGTAAATCTTTTATTATATCGAGGATATATATCCTAACCATCAATAAAAGTGACTTATTTTAACCAAATTAATTTTTTTCACTCTGATCAGTGCAAATAAACTTTAGAACTGCTTTTAAAACCTTCAGAATATAAGAAGACTATATTCTGACAGCCAGTAGCTTTTGTAGTTACTCTGCCTGTCTCGGTGGGTTCTATCATATGATCATATAGGAGCACTCTGGGTTTATGTTTCAGCCTCATAGAAAGGGAGATAGTTTTCCTTTACAAAGATTTCTCAGGAAGGAGAGTGTGTGTGTGTACATATATATACATGCACACACATACATATACTTACACATATATACATAATATGTATAAATATATACATATATAGATATATACATATATGTGTGTGTATATATATATGATTTTTTTTCTAACTCACAGCTTAGAAAATACAAATAAAACTCGGCTAGGTTATCACTGAAGTCATTCAAAAGTCACAATTATTAGTGAAGAAAAACTGAAAGGGAACACCAGCTGAGCAAACGTATCCAAATTCATTTCAAACTTTGAAAAAGGATTTTTAAATCATGAAACACTCAGATCTTAGTCTTGGTTTATATTTCCATTAGTGTTTATAGAATGAAGAAAAAAAGGAAGAGAAACAGAATAATTAACATTAACATCTCAGAAGAAAGGAAAGTCTACAAAGATTTAAAGGGATCAGGATCAAGATGAAATGAAGAGTATTAGAGTGGAAATTAATTGGAGAAAACATTTTTCTTTTAAAAAACTCACATTCGTTGCCACTTTGCAAGTCACCGCCATGATTAGTTATACCTTTGAAGATGCCTCTTTAATTGAGATTATATGTGATCAAAACTCAGCAGCGACCTCAGGTCATTTTGGTGTCCTATGCCTTTTTGGTTAACATCTATATGAAATTCATAACTTTATAAAATATTTTTAAATACCCCTCTTGTATATGGTGGGATTGTGTCACTCATTCATTCAGTCAGTCAGTCTTCTAGTCAACAAATATTTATTGAACTCCTACGATATCCCAGGCATACTTCTAGGTGCTTGGGAAGAAATAGTGGAAAAAACAGAAAATTTTCTACCACAGGGTGTTCACATTCTATTGGTGAGAGAGACAAACAAAGAAGTAGATAAATATATAACACTACATCAGAGTTGAACGAATTCTGACAACTTTAAAGTCTCTGTGAAACATATGATAAAAAGATTGCCTTAAAATATTTCATAAATTTTCTTCTTTTAGTAAAAATGGAGACGAGATAAATACAAGGAAGAAAATCAAATTGTCCAACTTGATAAAAAGTAAAAGCAAATTTACCTATAATCTCATCATGCTATCCTATAATCTTACCAATTGATAATTGGGGGGAGGAGTACTGTATTTGGTGTCTTGCTTTTCTTTACTTACCATTTTGTGAGCATTTTTCTTTGTCTTTAATAGTCTTCAAAATGTGTTTTTAGTGGCTGCAAATATTACAGGCTATATATATACAATTTTAATAATTTCATTATTTTTTAATGTCTGTGATCATAAATTAATTTTTTGTACATAAATCTTTATCTACATATCCTCAGCATAAGGTACATAAAGTGGAATTATTGGGTCTAACTGCATGTATATTTTATGATACTTGACGTATGTTGTGAAATAGATTTATGGATTTATATATATTACACTTCTTCACTATTATCTCAACAATATGAGATATTAAGTAGATTTAAAACCGCATCCAAAACTGCACCTGATTTTGAATTACATATCTCTGTTTACTGTGAGGCTGGTTTTTCAGAATATCTTTATTATTTATTCATCTTTCTTTAGTGAATTCTTTGTCATTTGCTCTTCTTCCTCTTTTCTCTTAAGCCATTAGTGTTTTTCTTTTGATGTATGAGATATTTTATGTATGAAACATATATTTGTGGCAACTTTTTCTAAGTGGTCATTTATATTTATGCTTTTATGACAATTTTACATTCAAAAGTATTTTTATGCACTCAAACTTATTGATCTTTTTTCTTGTGATTCCTCTTGTGCTTAAAAAACCTTCCCTAACCTGAGATCAGTAAAATATTTACATTCTTTTAGTTTTTTTTTTTAATTTTTGTTTTTTATTTAGCTCTTTAATCTATGTGGAATTAATTTTGGTACGATGAGGCTTTAATTTGAGCCTTTTTCAAATCGTTCATTTTCTTACCACCATTTGCTAATGAAATAATCCACCCTTTTCCCTATAGGTCTGTGATTCTTTCTCATCTGTTAAATTTACACACAGACACACACAGGCACACACACACTGTTTCAGAGGTTGCATTAATCTGTTTGAAAGATTCTATTTTTAAGGTTGGGGGGGATGATGGTTCCGGTACTTTTGTCCCAGGTGTTACAAAATTACAATAATTCTTGGTAGTGGCTTGATGGAAGGGGGGGCGGGGGGTGGGTGGGAGAGCAAAGGTGCGGAGGCATTTAGGACCCAGGGGAAAGCCAGGCTCAGTACAGAAGGACAGAGTCTCGGGAGCACACGCCTCCTACCAAAATCACAGCCCCGTGGAGCCGGTCACTCATTCACAGCTTTCTAGAGAAATCTGAGCCCGAACCTGCCAGAATAGGAGATTTCACCCACTCAGCTCAGCAGCGAGGACACCTGCAGAAACACATTCCGAAAGCAAGGCTGGGCGGCCGTGTGAAGGTATTTGTTGCCTTTTTTCTCCCTTCTGTGTTTGCAGCGCCTCCCCGCCTTTCTCCCCTCTTGCGATGCCATGGCTGCGGCGTTTCAGCACTTCGGTGCGTGGACAGCTCCCATCTGCAATCCCTCTGCACTCCATCCCTCCAGCACCCTACTCTCCACCGCCTCCGTGGTCCATTCTCCTCCCGGAGCCCGCTCAGCCTGCGCTCCCTTACACCATCAGCACCCCCATCTCCACCATCACCGTCATGATCTCCACCATCACCAGCGCCGTAACTACAGTCAACACAACTGTGTCTTGTCACTTAGACAAAGCCCGAGGTCCGCAGGGTAGAGGAAAAGAGCCCAAGTTTTCAGGCATAGGACGGAAAGTTCAGGTGGACGACACCCCTGAAAACAAAGAGAGACTGCTTGAGAGAAAGGAAAAGTGAAGACGAGAGAGAGAGACCCCGGGCAGGGGGACAGATGGGGCAGTTGCCAGACACCAGCAGTTAGCCAGCTGCCTTTCTGCAGATTAGGAACTGTTTGGTTCAGGAAATTAACATTGCCTGGGGTCTAGTGTTATTCCGGTAAATAGATATATAAGCTCAGTCCATGTCTTTGGTTTTCCAATGGAGAATCACCGGGAAGCAGGGTGGGGGTGACTGATGACTCATATTCACCCACACTCCCGTTTTCCTTCCTAAGCATTTATTGCAGAAACTCTGGAATTAAGTTTTTTGCTGAAATGTTTTATAAAATGGAGACCCCAAAGGTTAATTCTGTGATCAGAGTGAAAATTAAAGTGATGGTGATAATAACCTAACAAATGTGGCTCTCATTAGAAAGTGCTGTTTGTTCAAATATCTCTTCCTGTCTACTTATTTCACTTCAATTTTCCAATCTTAAACCTCTCTTTGAAGCAGAGAAGATAGATCCCTTGCCCAAATGGCCAAAGCAGTAATGATATTCAGAGCAGATGGCCTGGCTTTGTTCATCTCTAGTCAAGGACTGACTGGGATTTGGAGGGCGAGAGTTTTGTGTGCTTTCTCAGTAATCAGGCGATAATGCCATTTTCCTATAATAGTAAAGGGTAATAGAGTGCAAAAATTGAAAAGGTATTTTATGTAACCGTGTTCTACCAGGCTCTGCTTCTAGAGTGCTATCATTTTCTATCTCAGTTGAAGGGAAGTTGGAACATCTTTTCCAATAACTTGAAGGTCCAAACACAAGTCATAGCACCTCTTTAATTTAGCCAGGATCATCTGTTTTATAAGAGCTAACAAATATCAGGAAATGAGTGCCCTAGACTGTCATAAATAAAAATCTTTTGGTAGGTATCCATTTAATCAATTATTACTGAACAGCAAAGTATTGGGGTTTTTTTTGACAAATTGTTTTTCATAAAATCAACATCATAATTAAAAATGAGATGGATCATATTTCCATATGGGAATAATGTAGGTCACATGGAACAACAAAGTTTAAACCAGGGCACAAAAAATGTTCATTTAGAAATCACCCTTGTACATTATTCTGCTTCTTTAAAAAGAAAAAGAGGCAATGAAGCAAGTTTCATCTAAACGAGCTTGCTCATCATTAGAGCGTTGTCAAAAATAAAGAATAGTCACAAACAAATATCCCCTGGAAGATGTTTTGAGGAGGAATTAAAACCAAATACTCTTCTTTAATGAGGAATAGTAGTTTGTGTCAAAAGCTACTTTTCGCTACTAACTACATAAACATTGGCATGATTCTATCTGCCTCTAAAATTCACTCACTTTGGAACTCAAACAAAAAAAACTAGTGAAAATATTTGGTGAGATGGATCTTAGAGAAGAAGAAAATGTGGTCATCCATATACTATCTTTAGATTGGTAATATCCATAGGAAACAAGACCTCTCAAGTCCCCAAGCAACAAGATTCTTAAAACTTCCCTTATCTGTCTGCAAAGAATGGTTCAGCCTAGACAATTTTTTAAAAGTGTACCTATTGCCAATTCTAGCTGCTTCAAACCAGAAACTCAGGCCAGGAATTCAGTGCCTCTAATGCTGCTGTCTTCCTGTGCTTAATCCAATTTCCTGAGGCTGGGGAAATTTCAAAACAATGCTGCTTCGGTGAGATTTACAAGCATCTGTCTCAGAAGCGATGCCTTTCTCTGACTGAAATATTATGCCGAGCTTATTAATTTTTATAGAGTGCCACTATCCTGGCTTCTTCTTTTATTTCTTTTCTATTAAGGGCTTTTTTACTTTTTTCATATTTTCAGTGACAGAATTTTCTCATTTTTATAACAGATTTAAAGGTGAGCAGAAAACATATTTTCCAGCAGAGTGGAAGACATGCTTGCGTAGACATGCGTGTAGACTTGTGTAGACATGCTCACAGAGGGGTGCAACCTTTTAGAATCATGGAGTATAAAGCTGGAAGGTCCTTCATTTCCCAAAAGGGGGAATCTGGAACTCTTCAGAACTGGTGGTGTTTGCTCACTTCTTCAGGCTTTACAAAGGGACACCTTATTAATCCTGAGAAGTCTATTCACAACTTTACACACTCCCTCATAGCAGAGCCATCCTTAGTAAATGGATCCAGGATAACTTGGATCTTCTCTGCTTTCCTGTTATGTGGTGACTCAGAGAAGGTAGCACAGCAGAATGGGTATACAAAATATGAAGCCTGGCCACATGCAATTAGCCCCAAAACACCCCTCAACATTGCCAAGAGAAATCTTTTCCCCCATTATGTCCTTCTCCCAAATTTTGATAGTTTTGATTATTGTTCATTTTCTCCAGATTTCACTGGAATAAAGTTGTTTCAGGAGAAGATCCACAGTGTGAATTACTGCAACCTCTAACATCAGCCCCAAGTGTTATATCTCTCTAGAGAAAACTGAATTTAATTTCCAATCCAAGTTTTCCTTAGCTTCAGGGAAGTAGATGTTCTTTGGTTTGATTCTTCATGGATGTGGAAATCAACTGGTCACTCCCCTTCCCCCAAAAACACTTTCATTTATTCAGTAAATAAGTTCATGCTTCTTTACTACTTCTGCTGCCTCCTACATCCTTTATCATACCTTCTCTGGTCAGGTAACCCTATGCTCTCTCTCTTTACAGACCTGTTATCAGGTAGCAAGGAGTATCAGAGAAAGTTTTCTGTGTGGAAGGCTAATTTTTTATGAGCTTTTCTTCTTCCTTACTTCTGAACAAGCAGGAATTTCCCCTTATGTTTTTGAGATGATCCACTCTTGTTTCCTGGATCCTTTTGTAAAGCCATTATCTCCCATTTGTAGATATTGTGCAGACCTCTTTCTCTATCTCTTCTCCTTAAAATAACACCACATCAATTCAGCTTCTGTTACTGCTCAAAAGAAAGGAAGTTTCATACCTTTATGTGTGTCAAGTACATAGTGTATTCAGTGTTCATTATTTTGCAGGAAGTAGGAGGGGAGCTGTGGGCTTGTGAATGGCAGTTGAGGGCTCAAATGACAGGCAACTGGGGGCTCGAAGTAAAAGGCCTCTAGTCTAACATGTGGTCAAAATAAAACAAAATAAACAAAACATATGAGATTTTTCTCTTTCCTTTTTCTCTTCCTCCTTCCCTTTATCCCTCCCTCTCTCTCACTTTCTCTTGCTTTCTCCCTTGTTCCTTTCTTCATTGCTTTTGGTTGATATATAGAGCATGCAAACATGTGTGAGAAGAATTAATGGGGTGATCCGATAAGCTATTTTGAGTGCTCGTGCTCCAAAAGGAATGAAGACATTGGGGGTGCTTTTACGCTCCTCTTGGGCAATGTAGCACTGCTGTCCACAGACACTGTGAGCTTTGACTTCACGGGCAATTAACTTACCTTCTCAACCTCGGATTCATTTCAAATCCTCTAGATTAGCGCTTCGCAAACATTAATGTGCATACAAGTTGCCTGGGGATTCTGCTATCCATTCAGCAGGTCTGGGTGGGTCCTGACATTCTGTATTCCTAACAAGTTCCCAGGTGCTGCTGATACTGCCGATCCATGGACCATACTTTGAGAAGCAAAGACAAAGAACAGTTTCCTTCTTTTTTAACATTCCCACATTTATGTCTGATTCTTAAATAATGGCACTCATACTAAAACAAAATAAAACCTCTCAAGTTCTGAGGCAATAAGAGCTCAGAAATCATAGCTCTAGTTGAGGAGAAAATTAGACAAATAGCCCTTTCCTCCCACCTCACCCATACTCACCCTGCTATGCCTCACTTTCATCAGACAGTTACCGCTGCTGCCGTCGTCTGCCTGATCACATCCAGAAGAAAGGTCCCAGTCACAGAGATGTGCTGGGAAAAACAGAGTGGAAAAGAGATGCGAGTGGATTTAATGGCCATCTTTGGGTGAACCCTGCCTCTCTGACATGCTTCCAGATGCTCTTCCTCAAAAAGAGTCTATTCTTAGACTCTTCCAAGAGTTTTTTTGCTTCCTCTCCCACTGATACTTCTAAGAAGCACAACTATTCTGTTTTTTAAATTGGGGCATTGACTGCCAATGACTTCTTATGGGGATAGCTTAATGGCATAGAAAAACATTCCAGTCTAATTTGCTGTCTCAATACATTTTCCCCCCTATACATTGTCTTTATTTAAAACAGAGAGGTAAATATTACTTCAATTAAAAACTTTTCTACCTAACACAATGAAGAGGCAGAAAAATCCCATACCTTCCTTACAAGTTGTCTTTCCCTTCAACTTGCATTATTTGCTCTAAAGCAAACTAAAAGAATAAAAGTTTTATAGAGTGTCCTAGAACTTAGGACACAATCTTCTGTCAAATAGGTCTACCTCCTCTGAGTCCCAGGCTATTCTAATTCTGATCTGGCATCTACTTTGGGTTGAAGTTCTCAGTTTCCCTGCTCTGTTGGAACTCATTCCAATTTCCTTTTAATCTTTCTTAAGAGCAAGAGCAAATGGGAGCAGATGACTGCGTGCTTAGTTACTATTTTAAAGGGAGCCAAGGGAGTCTACATGATGAATATTTATGTGGCAAGGGCAA